TAAGGTGGACTTTTCCTGATTTATTTCAAGTGGCAAACTGGTTTGATCTTGAGATCGCAAAGCTTTCACCGTCTACAAGGACTCTTCTCCCCACTGCTTTAGAATATCTAGAAGGAGATGCTGTGAGGGATTATGATACAATCTGGAGTACAGTGTAATCAATATGACAAGGATCCTGTATGTTAATTTTATTCTGATTCTGGGAGCTTGTGGTAGTATTATGTACAAGTACCTGGATTCATTTATAGGTGGGAAGAGGGTGAAGTGCAAATGAATCCAGTTTAAGAGAAGTGATACAGATTCCAGCATCTAGAAAAGGCTACTTATAGAGACAGCGGTGCACACTGGCATTCTATGATTCATTCTGACATACTCTTGGAATGTTAACAAGCATACCAACTTCCTAGAGAAAGTGCATGCACTTGAAAGTAAGAATGTTTATTAAAGAGGACTACAGATGCCTGAATTAGGGTATATGTATGTTGAATGAAATGGCCATATTGGTCACAATATACGTAGATTTAATAGAGATTTCCCCCCTACTTTTTGTGCTTCTTAAAATTACAAACTGGAGTCAAAGGCTAAGGTTGTCATTCAAAATAGGAAAAATTAAATTAGCCACAGCAAATTTGTTCCACTGATTTCAATGCACATTAGTCACCCATTAACAGTGCACTCTTTGTGTAAGTAAGTCCAAATGAATTCACAGAGATTTACTGCAAGGTAAGAACACAGGCCTGTCAACAAATTTAAAGTATATTTGGGGCTACAATCCTGTGAATGCTTACTTATTTATAACTGCCTCTGTCACCTTTCTAAAACAGTACTTACAGCAATGATTATTTATATATATAAAAGCAGAATGCCTTAGTCATTCCATGAAGATTCACTGATAGGTAAACTTAATTTAAATGAGATAACTATTATGTCATCTCCAATATCTGTTCTGATCCAAATTAATTCTGCCTACTTCTGAAAATGAATCTGCATGTGCTGCAGTTCCAAAGTGGTTTTGTTAACAAGGTGTGGAGCACAAAATGATACTATTTTTCGTATTCTGTGACTCTGTGCAAGCAAACATGGGGGTTTTATACCTGGTAAGAGATAAACAGAAGCGGCAGTCCTGCACACAATTACATGAGAGTAAGCAACATTTAACTGAGTAGGACTTAAAAATGAAAAAGCATTCAGAGGACGGCACCTTAGCTTATAGGAAACATTTCTGCTTGAGTAGTAGTATATATTTGAAATTATCTTTAGACTGAAAGGACTTCCAGAAGAAGAGAAATTTCATAACAAATCTTACAGCTCAAACAATCTAATTTGGAAATTTACATATATAGCTGGTCATGTGTCAAGCCGATTAAGTACCCTAGGAAGAATTTTAATTTATACTCTTATATAACTAATATATCCATCCTATGTGATTAATCTCTAACTCTTTTTAAAAAGCACACACTGTAATTTCCTTATTTAAATTCAGGGATCTGTGTCTTTTAGACAGGCTAGAACTCTTTGGAATTCTCACAATAACAGTTAACAACTTTTTTTTAAAAAGGAACTTTGCATTACTGATTTTAGAGCAAAGAAACAATAGAGAGAAGCAGTACGAGATTTGAGCTCCCCCGCTCTCATTTTAAGTTTTTCTTAAAAATGCCATTCGTCTTACCAGTTAGAATGAAATCGCCCCTACTGCTTTTCTCCACCAAGTCCATTTCCCTCGTTAGTTTCTCTCTCTACTGAAGCCTCTCTTGGCAACTACGTAAGCCAGCCTGCATGTTGGTGTTGGCAGGCAAAAGTATATCCCACAGCTGCTCTATCCTTCTAACTCTCAAAGAAGACTTCACCTGCAAAGGCTCTGCTCCTTTCATCCTGGCTCCCCGGCGTTTCATTCAGCCAGCGCAGGGGTTTCTCCTCTTCAGCTAAGGCGGCCAGCAAACAGTCCCTTCCTTACATCAGCTGCAGCTGCTCTTGATGTCGCTTGGACCAGCCAGAAGGGGCTGCCGAGGCAGTAGTGTGGAAGGAATGCTTCAGCATAGCTAAAAACAAAACACTTCACTATGGCATCCTGGAAGCACTGAAGCACTAACTAGTGGCAAGCTGTCAAAAATTGCCCTGAAAAGAGTTTTTCTCCTCAGTGCTTCTTTCCATGTCAGCAAAGGAGAAGCTGAGGTTTTTTTTTTAAGTGCTTCCCTATAGTAGGAGATAAATAAATAATTTCTTGGGTATGTGTGTCGCTCTCTCTCTCACTCACTCTCTGTGTTTCTATGTGTGCATGTAATTCCATTCATTCAATTTCTGCTAATCCACCAAAACAAAAAGGAACATTACAAAATGGTCCTAACTTTTAGCAAACTCTAAAAAGGGAAGGTAGATTGAAGATGGAAAACTGAAGTGAAAGAAGGAAAAAAACAACAACCTGCAGTTCTTCTGACAACTTTAGGAAGGGAAAAAAAAGACAAGGCTCTCTAATTATACACCATCAACCTTCTTTTCAACACCAGTCACAGTATTATATTCATAAGTCCCCTGATTACGCACATTCTAGTCTACATTATATAAGCCTAGAAGAATGTGGACAAGAAGCCATGACCAACAATCAATTCATTGTACACAGTGTGCACGCACCCTAGCTCTCTCTCTCTTTCATACACACAAACTCAGCATTTCCTACCGTTCTAATTGCAGTTGGGATTCCTGATTCGTCTACTGGGCCAATCCCTGCATAATGTGGTGCTTTAATGACCGTGACTTTCTTCTCTTCCTCCGAAGTTCTACAGATTGGTATTGTGCTGGTGCTGCTGCTGCCGCCAACAGAATGAGCATGCTGTGAGTATGTCTCTGTGGATTCTACAAAGATAAGGTTAACACAACACTGTATAACAGCTTAATTACCATGCTCAGCCTACGTATTGGGCAATGTACTTTCAAAGTCTCATAGCGACCTATGGGGCAAAGTGACACATGCTTATGAAATACTAGACATTGGACATATAGCTGGCTTGGAGGGGAACTGTGTGCTCAGTTGGACCCAAGCTTAACGGTAGAGCACATGCTTTGCACGCAGACGGTCCCAGGCATCTCTAGTTAAAGAGATCACGTAGCAGGTGATGAGAAGGTCTCAGCTTGACACCCTGGAGAGCAGTTTCCAGCCACAGTAGACAATATGAACTAACATGTACAGATAGCTTGGGCTAGTACTAGCAGCATCCCATATTCCTACTTGCTATTGTGGTAGTGGTGGGATATGCATTTAGTGTGCTAATTTTTGCATGGAGCTTTGAATACACAGATATTTTCTTGGGCTTTATATAAAGTGGCAGGGAGGTGAAGAGAATTTTAAAAAGGAGAATGCAGAGGGAAGATGCACAAAATTAAAACTGAGGCAAATCCTGCTGGCAGGCTGGCCTCGTCAAAAGACAATAATACTAATGCATGGCACAAAAAGAGAAAATATGTTAGTAGGGAGGAGGCAAAGAAAGGGTACCAAGATGGTATTTGATAATCTGAGAAGACAGGTGGCTTAAAATTTCTATGTAAACAGAAGAGGGCAGGAGAATTACAAAAAGAGGGCATTTGAATGGTGGAGGGAAACTAGGGGAAAAAAACGGACAATTTTTGGTAATAAGATTATAGCAACACCTTGTAGTTAACACAAATTTGAGATAGGCTCCAAAAGCACAGCTGCTGCAGTTCTCAGTTGCTTTTACAAAATGCTGCCCTGTATTGAATTAGATCATTAATCCATCTAACCTAATGTTGCTGACATTGACTGGAAGCAGCTCTCCAGAGTTTCAGGCAGGGATCCTTCCCATGAACTGAACTGGGGAGCTTCTGTGTACAAAACAAGTGCTTTAAACACTGAACTACTTCACTTCAGAGCACTGGCAACCCATTTCATGGCGTGCTGGGAGATCCAAACAAATGGTCACATACTTTACTGTTATCATATGGCAGTTGCATGGATATCATGAAATATGGATATAGCACAACACACAAAGAAAGTAGTTTAAACAAAACTTAAGCTTAATATCAGTTGCTTGGATCCGGATCTAGCCATGTTTGCAGATGAAACACTGAAATCAATGAGCAAGTTAGACTTGGTTAACTTTTCTTGTTGATTTCAGTAAAGGTAAAGGTTCTCCTTGACATTTAGTCCAGTCGTGTACGACTCTAGGGCGTAGTGCTCATCCCCGTTTCCAAGCCATACAGCCAGTGTTTTGTCCAAAAACAGTTTCTGTGGTCACGTGACCAGCGCGACTAGACACAGAACGCTGTTACATTCCAACCATGGTGGTACCTATTTATCTACTCACATTTGCATGTTTTCGAACTGCGGGGTTGGCAGGAGCTGGGACAAGCGACGGGAGCTCCCTCCGTCGCGTGGATTCGATCTTATGACTGCTGGTCTTCTAACCTTGCAGCACAGAGGCTTCTGTGTTTAACCCACAGTGTAATACAACTCAAGCTCAAACTAGACATTAAGGAGAATGCTTACTTTCTCCAAGTAAGCAATTTCCCCTCCTACAATGCAATTTCCTCAGAAACATATGTCTTCACAATCAGACTTGCAAATTAAGGCCATGCTTTCCTCCACCTCATCAATCACAAAACAAAGCACATAAAATGCAAGTGGCATTAAGTGAAGAAAATCACAAATGTTTTATCTCTCGAAGGTTACTTTTAAAATGTGCTAAATATATAGTCTAGTTTGATCGCAAGTCTGGTTCTGATCATGAGACTCTATAATCTGGCTCCAGCTATGTATAGCTAGTCACACATAACACAGAGACCCATATCATGAACATCTCCATTATATGAAGCTTTTTTTCTTGGCCATCAGACCATTGATTCACTTCACCTAGCTCCACTGTGCTTGGTAGTGGTTTTTCTAGAATCTCAGATAACAAAATATTTCCACCTGACTCTTAAAATGATATTAAAAAGGACTTTTCTGATGAATTATGACACCTTCATAGAGAAAGTCCCATGTGAAGCACCAAAGATCTTGCCCATTAAATTATATATAAAAATTTGACAAACCAGACTTCACCTGCAGATCTGAAGATAAAGTTCTTCTCAAGCTAACCTACAATCAGGCCATTAAGGGAAAGGTAAGTAATAACAATGTTAGTGGAGCTGAGCAAGATGTGGCTTAAAAGTAAAAGGTTCCCCTTGACAATTTGTCCAGTCGTGTCCGACTCTAGGGGGCGGTGCTCATCTCTTTTTCCAACCCATAGAGCTAGCGTTTGTCTGAAGACAATCTTCCGTGGTCACGTGGCCAGCGTGACTTAGACAAAGGAACAGCATTACCTTCCCACCATGGTGGTACAGTACCTATTTATCTACTTGCATTTTGCATTTTGCATGCTTTCGAACCGCTAGGTTGGCGGGAGCTGGGACAAGCGATGGGGGCTCACTCCGCCACATGGATTCGATCTTATGACTGCAGGTGTTCTGACCTTGCAGCACAGAGGCTTCTGCAGTTTAACCCGCAGAGCCACCACATCCCTTACTAGATGTGTCTTAATATACTCCTAATTCCCATGAGAAGTTGACCAGCTTTTTTTAAACTAACCTAAGGTTAACTAGGACCAGAGAGTCTCAGGTTCAAATTCTCACCTAGCCGAGAAGCTCAGGGAGTGATCTGGACCAGATACTATTTTTCAGGGTTTTAAATATAAAAGGAACAGGAGGGAAATTTGGATTGGTTAGCCAACCTGAGAGCAATGAAGAGAATATGACGTTTTGGAAAATAAATATAAGGTCAGAACTATATGTTAATCTATTTGACAAATTACAGCTGATAGTTGCCAGGCCCCACTGAAATCAGTGTGAAAGGGAATAGTAAATCAGTTCCGAGCATTCTATATCTAGAAAACCCTGGAAAATGTTGCTGAAGGTTGGATAGCACATACTAATAATAATTATTGAGCTTGGTATTGTTAAATTCCACTCATTTTTATGGGGCCCTGGTGTGTTTAATGATCCCAAATTGATGTTCATCACCAAGAATATCCAAAAGACCAGGAGCGAGCCCCTGTGGTCCTACAGATATTTTTCACTTATAATTCCCCTTTTTGAGAATAGTGACCCCATAACCTCTGTAAGGCAACTAATGGGCTATCCTTATAGTAGATCTTCATTACAGATTTGCTTGGTTATCACTGGGCAGTGTTAGAGTTTTAAGTGTTCTTTTTAGTGAAAGTAGTCTGCTTTATATACATTTCATAAACCAGATTGGTATCTCAGACAAAGCTAGGGCTTTCTAAATTTAAAAGCACATAATGTTCTTTTGAAGCTAAATATTTGTTGGTCTAGACTTTAATTTTTAGGAAAAATATCAAAATGACTGACAGGATTGCTAATATCTGGTACTGATTCCTTCTCTGTTTGTTTAAATTTGCAAGTCTATAAATAATGGAATATGAAACATAGATGGTCAGGTGGGTTAGTGACTATGAAATAGCTGAATATCTGGGCCTCTTTCCAAATATGCAGAATACTAAATTTAGGGAGGGAAGTAGGCTGTGATCCTACAATCCATGAAAGGCAAAAACAATCTGTCTGCATCTGTAAGATGTCCAGGGCCAACTCAGACATAATGTCAATTGTGTGGATGCAATTAAAAGTGCAGGATTATTTGTTTGTTTGTTTATGAATGACTCTAATTGAAAACAGCAGTTGCAAGGGGACTGCAGAGTGGAGTGGGATTTTAATCGTCCTTGCTACAAAAAGGCTATTCTCTGTTACAAGGATACAGTGGTGCCTTGCTTAACGGGTGCCCCATTTAACAATGAAATTACATAGCGATGAACTTTTTGCGATCGCTTTTGCGATCGCGTTGCGATGTTTTAAATGGGAAAAAATCGCTTTGTGATGATCGGTACCCTGTTTCGCTTACCGATCATCGCAAAGCGATGATTTTCTAATAGCTGATCGGTGGTTCCAAAATGGCCACCGGGTAAAAAAATGGCCGCCCACTGTTTTCTGGGACGGATTCCTCACGTACTGGGCAGCGAAAATGGCCGCCGTATGGAGGATTTTCGCTTTAAGGTGAGTTTTAAGCCCATAGGAATGCGTTGAAGGGTTTTCAATGCATTCCTATGGGCTTTTTAATATCGCATAGCGACGAAATTGCTTTGCAGCAATTTTTGCTGCACGGATTATCGTCGCTATGCGAGGCACCACTGTATATGTAAAATATGAAGGGAAATTGATTGATTGATTGATTGATTGATTTGATTTGATTTGATTTGATTTGTATCCCGCCCATCTGGTCTATACAACCACCCTAGGTGGCTTCCAATATAACATAAAGAACAATAAAATAACACAAGAATATTACATAAGTCTTCCAATAACGAATTACAATACAAAAATAGAGTAAAAAATAAATAAAGAATTAAAGAAAGATCAAGTATTGACTAGAGGGAAGGCCTGAATATACATGCATGTTTTTAATTGGCTTTTAGTTTTTGTTGTACACCACCCAGAGCAGAGACGGGCAGCATATAAATTGAATGACTGACTGAACACATGGTTGTCAACAAGAAGGTTACACAAGCCCGATAACACCTTGTAGTTCATCTTCACCAACCTCTGATACACTAAAGCAGTGGTCCCCAACCTTGGGCCTCCAGATGTTCTTGGACTCCAACTCCCAGAAGCCTTCACCATCACCTCTGCTGGCCAGGATTTCTGGGAGTTGAAGACCAAGAACATCCGGAGGCCCAAGGTTGGGGACCACTGCACTAAAGCATACTATCTCTGGCACTATCTCTCCCATGCTATTTACTTGGAGAGAGCAACCTCTGTTTGTACACCAAAGTCCCTCACTTCTTTGCTGGCTTGGATGTTCATCCTAATATGTACCTTCTCTTATGTTAGTAATCCGCAATGGCAGTGACAAGCTATTTTTTTTTGAGATTTTAGAAGCATGTTCTCCAAATGCTTCTTTTAAAAATCACTTCAGTTAAGAAGCATTTTTAACACAGTTAGTAAATCTCTAACATGGTTTTGGCCCAAGACTGTTACTGTATTCGAATGCTGTTGCGAGCCATTTCCCTTCATATTCAGGTTCTAAATTATTACGCATAATATGAGCTATCAGCAGACTCACAAAACTCTAAAGAGAAAAAAAATCTAAAGGGGGTCATTCTCCCCTATTTTAAAGAGTCCAGTGAAATTACTGCTGGCACTGAATATTAACTGATGGAGAGAGAAAATGAAAAAAAAAATGCAGTGGAAGGGTAGTATTGGGAAATATTACTTTTTGGAGGCCACAACTCAAAGGACACCCTAACTAGTACAGCTCTAAAACGTCACGTTTCCCATTTATAGGAAAGAGGAATTAAATAACAGGCAAAGGATCAAACACATAGACATAAAATGGCATACAGAACTCTATCATAGTATGAGAGAGTCCGTTCCATATGCCCCTAGGGACAGAGGTGGAAAATCAATGGCAAAATCCAAGATTTTAATGAAACTGGGATGTGTTCCATTAACTCATACTTTAAAAATGGGGGGTGGGGTAGACTTTGGAATGAAGGTTCCTCAGTGAACATCCAGAAACAGTTCACTGAGGATAGTGTGCTCAGAGGACACCGCATACCAATAACTGCTAAAGGAAAAACTGGGGGAAAAACAGAAAGTAAAGAAATGGATACACTTAAACCCTGCAGAGAAATCCTCAAAATTGAATTTTGTTGCAGGATCACACACATTTTATTTAACAATCTTGGTCTTATACTTCTATCTAGTATTATCCATAGTATTAGCCATAATTATTCAGGTGCTTCCTACGGATAAACAGAGAAAAACAGGCAGGCCAATTCTTTAGCTATCCTTAGTACCTCCACCCAAATTAAGATTACTATTATTGAAAACTGCTTAATCACAGCATACTTCACCAATGCTCAGATTTTTCACATAGAGCTTGCATAGTAAATGACTACTTTATTAAGGATTCATATCTTACTCTGGTTAACTTCCTGTGTGCACTATTAGTGACCATACTTGACATTGGGCAGCAACATTCTAGGATGTCTGAGTGAAAAATATGGAGAGTATTAAAGAAACTGCCAAGCCTCCTGTCAAAACATTCCAAAATGCTGCTGCTTCCAGTCATTTGAGGGTTAAGAAAACAGTTGATGGGCTGTTGACAATAGAATTTCCTTCCTACTATTGTCACTGCTATGACAAGCACAGGTGAGGAGAAGATAATGTTAACATACATAAAGAAGTCCTCACCATTTGAAACACAATCCACTCGAAAGTGAAGAAACCCCCAAATTCAGTATACCCCAATATTAATTAATATACAATACCTAGGTATGATAATAATTAAGATATGTAGGAAACTCACCAATTGTCCTGCTCCGCTGCAGGTGAACTGTGCTTGAATTGAGCGATATTGGGGGGGAGTAGGCGGAAGAAGGTGAGAAAGGCCTTTGGAAGTGGCTCATTGGGCTTGCTGCTGAACTAGAGTTCCCATTCACTGTTATTTGTGTCTGAGAGGAAAAGAAACAAAAACATACATAAATCATATCCCATTAAAGTATATGCATAGGTGTCTGAAGTACACCATCCAAACATACTGGAGAAAGAAAAAACTGTGGTCTTCATTATATTAGCCAGTTGTTAAGATTCTTGGCTGTAACACATTTCCATTTCCCTCATAAATATATAGCATGCTGGAATCACCGGAATGTACCCTCAATATTAATGCAGTATATAATGAAGATGGCAGTAAAACATCCTCTCTCTCAACTTTTGGAAGATAATATCCTTCATATTCACATGAAGACAAAGAAGACACCAACAGAAGAAGCCAAAATCCCTGTCTATTGTTGTGACAAATGTCTGGGGCCAAACCATACCTGATCAATTTTAACATGCAGTGGCCAAAATCCTGTTACAGCAAAGCATACTTATAAAGGCAATTGCACAAGCAGGCTTCTTGCTTGCTTACTGTCCTTCACACTTTCACATGCAGGACTGGATCTGTGGTGTTTTCTCGACAGGATGAAGTGGGAGAGCTCAATGGATGGCCAGTTGCACAACGGCCCATTTATGCTGCATGATCCCTAAAGGGTTCTGACCAGTAGTAACACTGACAGCTATAAATTTCCATAGTAACATGGTTAGCACTGTGTACACAGCTATCTGTAGCAACTCTTCTGTTTTATGCATGCTTTGGTTAAAGAAGATCACACAGATGCCTTTTTAAATTAAAATCTGTTACTACCATTTGTAATATCAAAATAAATGATGAGCGACATGGCAGGCCTCACCATTAGGCAGAGTGAGGTAGTTGACTCAAGCTGAAGATTCCAGAAGCATATGGGCCACTTGACCTATTTTGTACCCCTCTAAACTAGCCTGCTTGCCTTCAGCTTCAGCGGATGTTATCCCACAACCAGCACAGAGGTAAGAGTCAACTGCCAATTAAACCATCTTCAGTGTATGGAACTGAGCCATTTTGTACTTCCTCTCAGATGCCAAAATGACTTCAGCCAGGCCTGATGAGTATTGAAAGGCTCTTTTACAACACAATCTTATGCCCATTTATTTAGAATGGAAAGGAGAAGCCACTTCAGGAAGGGATAGTGACAGCTGCATTCTTAGAAATACTGTAAGTGAGGGAGATGAAGGAATGTTATACTGTAAGATTCACCAACTCACTTTTCTTCATTATTTGTAAGTGCAATGCTGAACTTGGACCTATAAGTTTCACTGAGTAAAGTGGCGCACATGAAGCCACCCAAAACTTTTCAATCCCAAAATCATTTAGTTGGACTGAATAAAACCAAGTTCAAATGTTTTGTTAAGCATTCTTAGGATTATATTCAGTATTTTTCAAGTGTACCCTACAATCTCCTGAAATTAAGTATCAACTTATTTTATGATCTTAGCTTAAAAGTGTTCTGCCTTGGGATGAGGCCTTTAAAATTTAAAATGTAATGGTTTTGTTAAATTTGGAGCATTTTCGAACTTGTTTTAACCATGCAGCTGGTACCTATAAAGTACAGTGCATTCTTCATTAGAGATTAAAATGACATGATTCCCATAATCAAGTCGCAGGCTGTTGCAGCTTACACACATACTTATCATATACACTAATTCCTGAACTTCTGACCTATAATAAGGACATGCACATTTATCCTTAGTCACTTCCCTTGAATTCTGCAAAAGAAAAATAGATCCCTGAAAAAAGAAACAATGAATGTAATAGGAGGTGAATATAAAGATTTGTCATGCTTTTATTCCTGTGACGCAAAGTGGGGGAAAGGCTAGATTAAAAGCAACTTCATGCAGTCAGTAATCACTGGGAAATAAAGTTGTGTTAAATGCTAAATTCCTTGAATCTACTAACCTCAATTCTTGAGACATGCTCTGCATCACAGTGGCCCTTCAAAAGTGCTTAAGTAGTTTACAGCCTCTCTTAATGTTCTGCCTGAGCAGAGCTTGGAAAAGTTACTTATTATGACAACTCCCAGTGACCATGGACATATAAGATATATGCATGGCCAGTGGCCACAAATAAAATATTCTGGGAGCCGAGTGCAAAACATTAACTTGCTTGAAGCTCTGTGCTTTAGTGTTATGCTTGGATGTGTGTGTGTGTGTGTGTGTGTGTGTGTGTGTGTCTGTCTGTCTGTCTGTCTACACGTAGCATCTTCCATAAGTCTACTTATATCCTGTTTATCACTTCTCTGTAATACAGTGAGCTTGAATAAGGACTGCAAGACTCATTTGGAGCTTATATTTGAGCAAGGGATTTCCAAAGTCCCGTAGCCCAATGTGATACTGAGACTTGGCTCTGGAACACCAGAGGTTGTGAAGAATGAAAGGTGCGTCTTATGGAGCGAAAAATACGGTATATCCTGTTTATCACTTCTCTGTAATACAGTGAGCTTGAATAAGGACTGCAAGACTCATTTGGAGCTGATATTTGAGCAAGGGATTTCTAAAGTCCCGTAGCCCATTGTGACTTGGCTCTGGAACACCAGAGGTTGTGAAGAATGAAGACAGTATCTCTGACTATGTATAGAGTGCCTTTCCTACATTACTATAGCAGCTCTGAATGTAACAGCATAGCCATATAAACATATATGTGTATCTTTGTGCTTCCTCTTCCACCATGTCACCACTGCAACTATGTCACACTTTTAAACTCAGAAATAGATACTGTATATATTTGATAGAGAAGCAACTTATGAATTTCTTGGGCACAGAAACCCCAAGTGTTACATTTGGTGGTGTGAGGATGTTGTGGAGAAAAGGAAATGTGAACTTCTTGTGCTTCTTGTTTACTACATCCAGACAAACTCACTGATGGATTTTGAGAAGAAAGAATTCCAGGCAGTAGGTTAAACAAAAATCGGCAATGTGAAAATGCATATTTATCTAGCATTGAAAGATTTATACCTCACCCTTAATTATTTATACTGTTTAGGTATTTAGCAACACAAATAAAATAATATTTATTTAAAATAACCATCAAACTGAACAAATCTTAAATAGAAAACAAAATAGCTGCCAGTGAGCATGGAATACAAGACAAAGCTCTCTCTCTCTCTCGCTCTCTCTCTGTGGTTATTTGGTACCAAAAAGCTCTATGCATTGGCACCAGCTGGGCATCATGTCAAGAATATTCCAAATGCTACTTTTATGAGGGGTTCAGAAGCACCCCAAATGCTTTACCCATCCAGGATATTGCAATTATCTACAAGCAGATTTCCCCCCTGCTACAAGTAAGAAGTTTTAAGATTTCTTATTAAGAAATATTACCAACTGCCCCAACATGCTTATTAATTAAATGAGATAACAGAAAAGGATTAGTTCTTTTTCCATTTTGGCAGCTTAGTTGAACAAAATGGAGGAGGAAAGAGGAAAAATAATTACATGAGTGCCGGTAGCAGTGGAGGTTAAGGTGGTGCCATCTGACACAGCAGACATCTGGCTCAAGGTTGGGGAAGGTGTTTCAGAACGGTCAGTAGTATCATAGTTACAGCTCTGTAGCTCATCTAGAATGGCAGTGGAGGACTCGCTCACCGGGCGAGAGGAGTACTCACTCATGGCTGAATCTGTCACAACAGAGGCTGTTTCAGTCCTGTGGTGGATAGCACTGTCAGGAACTAAGAAAGGGTATGTATATGAGAATCGTGAATGGGCCAGGGTCCTATAAAAGCGTGAAGGCCAAAAACTGTCACGTGTTGGCAAAATAAATGGTGTTACGTGGGCGCCACTGTCAGGTGAAACATAGGGTCTGTTAATCGACACCATGGAAGGAGGAGGTGAAGGAGGCAGTGGTGAAGCTTCGGCTGACGTTTGTCTGTGTGCCTGTGAAGCATTTACCTCCATCACACTGGCAGTTACTTTCTGGGTTCCAAGCTGAGTTTTGAGAAACAAACAAACAAACAAACAAAAATAAGAAAACATATTACTAATCTTAATTTTTTTAAAAAAATAATATTTTTTCCTTACCCTTTTGTTGTGTGCAAGAGCAAATGAGGAAAAGAAAGACACACCACTGTTTTTTTTAAAGCAGCCTTAGAAAGCACACTCAAGTAGATTAGAAAATAAACAAAACTCTTATTACAAAAGAAAACATAAGTGAAATTGTCAAGTATGAGTGGAAGCAATGCCAGAAACTACAGTGTATTGGATTTTGTCTGTTTCCAAGGCTTCCAATTGTTGGAGGTTTTGTTCTAATCAAGTTGCATTAAGCTACATTTATTTATAAGAAATATTAGAAAGCGTTTTTTTTCCAATCACATAAATGCAACTGCATTTAATTTAATTCTCAAAGGAATGGAAGTAAGTAGAACGTGCCAATAAGAATATCTTAAGGAGTAGATAAATTCTGCATCATAGCTTTACAGCCATGGTAGAAGAACTCGTTACACCACCACCTCCACATATTTGTGTGAAGAAGACGCCTATGCAGTTAGAGAGAGGTAGGGCTTTATCGCTGGCCTTTACTGTTGCCTTAAGCATAGTTCGACATCCATATAAAAACATCTGCAAAGGAGGGATCTATGTACATTGAATCCTAGGCACGCAGGCTTTTCCTCACCAAAAGCTCATATTCAGGGTATAGATGTCTGGCCAAGAATGCGTGCAATACTACAGGTCCTAACACTCCAAAGATCTCATGAAACTCTTTCAAGAGACAGGTGTGTTTGTAGTAAATGGAAGGAGACAGCATGGAAAAGCTTAATAAAGTCAACAGCAAATGTCTTCACAAGCTGAAAAGAACGCATTTCTTGTGTAGGCATCTTTCTTGTTGACAAAGCATAAATCGTCTCCTTAGATCAAGGTTTCTAGGACCAAAGGCCTCAGACATAATTTTAGTGCTACGATCCTAAAGTACCTACATAAGACAAAGACCCATTGAACTCAATAGGATTTGTAAGGATTAGCTTGTATAATTTTTTTTAACTAAACATAGCCATTAGTAACAGCTCAAATAAGCCATCCTTGTCAAAAGTAATTTGTTGTTGTTGTTCAAGGAGATGGGAGAAAAAAACAAGAGAGGCATGTTTTGCTGCCTCCCTTTCACTCTAAGGTCACTCTGCTAATTAAATGGAGAATGTTTCTCCACTACACAGCTATAGCAGTTTGATTCCACTTGAACTGCCATGGTTCCATCCTATGGGATTCTAGGATTCGTAGTTTGGTGCGGAGCTTAAAAATCTACACCAGGGAACTGCAATAAACTCCCATGGATTAGCATAATAGGAAATTCTAAGCACCTCACCAAACTGCAGATCCCAGGATTCCAAAGGATTGTGTCATGGCAATTAAAAGGGAATCAAATTGGCATAGCTATGTAGTGTAGATGCTATGGATGCCCATGGTATTTGAAAAACATGATATTTGGAGACTAAAGATAATACTGAAAGCTAAGCTTGTAAGGTTTATGTGGAACACTAAATGCTCCTAATCTTCCAAGATGTAAACATCTTACTGCTAATAATGATAATATTTCTGATTATGGTAATGGTGATGGCATTGAGATGATGTGGATGAACAAAGATTTAGAATAAACTAAGTAGCATCAGACAAGGCACTGGGGAAAAATAATAAACAAACTGGCCCTTTTGTAGCAGTCTCATTTCTGATGTTATTGTAATGAAAATAATACACTTCTCACTGGAGTGGCCTAAGCAATAATTCCTGTTCTCTGAAAGCAACAAACAAGCGTTTAGTTATTATTTCTGCACTATGAGCCATACATTTGCAAGAATGCTGTCTTTATTTTGGCATTAGTGGTTTCATTTCCATAACTAAACTGATGTGGGAAATATAAGCTGCTGATTACATCATTTTACAGAATATGAAGCACCCTGTACATTGTCAATTCATATTGGAATCTGTCCATTTATAATCATTAATCCTGTCTTAGCATCCTGTTATTTAAGAGACCATAGCTGGTTCGTAGACTTAGAGTTAGCAAAATTAAAAATAAAACTTCAGTCTCCTAGAAATGTTTTGAATCCTGAAGATTTTACAGAGCTAATGAAAGGCTCTTTTAATCTATCATCTGAAAATATCTTTCTAAGCTCTTAAAACACATTTAACAAACAAATCAAACACCATTGATTTAATGGGTCTGATCTGAAAATTTCCACATTAGACAAGTAGTTTTTAATGGAGAATGCAATAATTTTGATGCACTGTTATGCATATGAGTCAAACAGGTTTCAACAAATAACCACATCAAATCTGTGATCTGTGCCTCTATGAAACAAGCTTATTTCTTTCAGTATATAAAATTCTACCTCATTGTCAACACTTTGTAGATACAAATATATTTCTAAATTTTCTGCAGTCAATAAAACCACCAAGAAACACCCTGTCCCAGAATCCTACTGCAGTATGCTTAACATGCTCTGGCTAATTGTGGTTGGCTGACAAGATGCCAGGGTAGATCTCAGCTGTGCAATCAGGCATGTGACCAAGACAAGATACAGCAACAATTAGCCACAATAAGCCACAACAAATTATTGAAAGCTTACATAAACAGCAATAGGATTTTGTCTCCTATTTTAAGAGGAAGAAATCTGGCCCTTAGTTAAGAGATTTAAAAAGAGGATTTTAAAATTTAGTTATGACAGGCTGAAGGCAAAGTAATGTTTTATAAGATTATTTGAAGCTATTGGGAAATACAGTGGGGTCTCGATTTACGAACTTAATCCGTATTGGAAGGTGGTTCGTAGGTCGAAAAGTTCGTAGGTCGAATATGCATTTCCCATAGGAATGCATTGAAAACTATTTAATCCGTATCTGCTGTTTTCCGTCCATAGAAACTAATGGGAAGCTGCTATTCCACCTTCTGCCACTAGAGGGGGACATTTTTTCTTTTTTCCCTTAGGTTCAGGAAACAAGGGAGAAGGCAGGGAACAGTTTGCAAAGCACTTTAGAAATCTTTTTTTTCAACAAAGCCAATATTAAATCATGTTTTAAAGCATGTTGTGCTGATTTTTTCAGCACAAAGACACACAGGCAGTTTGGGGGCTACCAAGGCCTGGTAAGTGACTTTCTTTTATTTATTTTTAAGTTTCTGACCTTTTTCCCCCCTCCAGAAGCCTCTAAAGGGAGGGAGGGGGCACTTTTCCCCCTGTTCTTAACTCTAGGGAAGTTCGTATATCGAGTCCTTATTTCCCCTATAGGGCGGGTTCATAAGCTGAATTGTTCGCAAGTAAGGTCGTCCGTAAGTCGAGACCCCACTGTAAAAAGGGAGGGGCTGTTTTACCCTAGGAGGAGAAATCACCATACAGAATGGTCATTTGGTAAAAAATACAAGACAAACATTATTATGGGGTCTTCATTGCAATTTTAAATGTATGTAGCATATCTGTCACTGGTGGTGTGGTATGACTGAAGAAAGCCAGGTACAGAACACAAAAACAGTTATGAGATATTTCAGTTAAGTTCTTAAGGCACTAATAAAACTGTTTCTGGATATTTTTGTGGATAATAACTAGATCAGAATGTAATGGCCAAGTTAGATTTATTAAAATCTATGGTATCAAAACTGCATATGATCCAAAGCTATTTGTCGCTTATGGAAAGTTCAGTGTCCATGCTTAGAGATATATGCAGAGTTGCCTTGTTCAGGTATTCAGCCTAGACAGGTCAGCTAAAAATGAAAATGTCCAACCCCTTCGTCTCAGCACCCACCCTTCTTGTCTCTCTTCAGTTCCAGCTTCACCATGCTGAGTCTGAAAGGACCTTCTGACCTTTTTCCCCCCTCCAGAAGCCTCTTATGTTCTTATGTTATGTGGAGGTGAGCTGACACATGGAATCTAGAGCCTTGTGACACAGTGGTTAAACTGTTGTACTGTAGCCAAAACTGTGCTCACAACCTGGGGTTCAATCCCAGGTAGCCGGCTCAATGTTGACTCTGCTTTCTATCCTTCCGATGATGGTAAAATGAGTACACAGCTCGTGGGGGTGGTTAGGCAATGTGTAGCCTGCATAATTAACTTGTAAACCACCCAGAGAGTGCTTGAAGCGCTATGGGGTGGTACATAAGCAGCACACTTTGCTTTTTGACAAACCTCATATCCTTCACAAGTTCATCTTCACTTATGTTTCATGGCTGAACAGGGCTGTAGTTTTATGCTAAATACACAACCCATGTGCAGATAGACTTTCAAATATGAACCACTAAATGACTGAGGGCATGCACATGAATGACACAGAATTCTATGTTTAACTCACCCAGCTGAACTAGAAGCTTGTTAAAATGTAAACTGTGTGTCAAGACTGTCTCCCTACACTGTGTGCTCATAAAACCATGCTGCGGATCAAGGTGAACTCTTCGGACAGTCTTTCAATACTAAAGTAAAATGAGTACCCAGCTCGCTGGGGGGGGGCAATGTGTAGCCTGCATAATTAACTTGTAAACCGCCAAAGAGTGCTTGAAGCGCTATGGGGCGGTATATAAGCAGCATGCTTTGCTTTTGCTTTGCTAAAGGGTGTCTTAATAGAAGATTAAGTTTTCCTTTGAACAAGTGTTATTATCATGGATAAATTTGCCACTTCATAAATATGTATATTTTTAAAATACAGTGGTGCCTCGCACAGCGAGGTTAATCCGTTCCGGTTTAACCCTCGCTGTGTGAAAACATCGCTGAGCGGGGCAGAAAAGCCCACTGGAATGCATTAAACAGTGTTCAGCGATGTTTCTCCGATGGCCGGCAGCCATTTTCGCGCCCTCCCCTCGCTTAACGAGGGCGCGAAAATGCTGTGCGTGGCCATTTTGCAGCTTCCGGCGGCCATTTCGTAGCCGCCAAACAGCTGATCGGCGGGTCACAAAGCGAAGGTCGGTAAGCGAATCGCTTACCGACCTTCGCTCTGCGATTTTTTCCCTATTGAGGCAT